TTGTTGCACCTTAAGAAAGATAAGGAGCCTCAGCATAAGCAGGGCTCTTCCTTTTTCACTCACAGTTATCTTTATCATCCTCAAGGCTCCTCAGATAAGGGCTGGAAATCTGTCAAATCCTTCTTCTCCAGTAGGCAGAAGAGATCTTGGCAATCCAGGTCCCACAAGCCCACTGAAAAGCCTTCCTCTGCATAAAGGTTTGCCCCCAGATCAGGGTGGGGGGACATGTTTTCTTGTTTGTGGATCCTTTCCTGGCTCACATTTTGGACTGTTGGGTTCACAAGCTCATTGTTTTGGGGTACAAAATAGCTGCTTCTGTTGCAAGGTCCAATTCTCCAGTCCTCTTTTCCATCACTGGCTTTAACGGTGTGGCTATTGAAAGCCAGATGATGAAGGATAGGGGGTTGTTGGACTCTGATCCCTACTAGGGATGCACCTATACCGGTATCGGTGTCAATACTGGGCATTTTCATGAGTATGCATACCCGTGGAAATGCTCTGGATACTAAGCGCAGATACCGGCATTTTACATTTTTAAACAGGAGCGGCTGCCGTGAGGTCCCGAGCTTGCAGTGACAGCGGCGGCTAATACAAGCTATCGGGCGTCTCTAGAGATGCCCGATAGCTTGAATGTAAAGATCCCGGCCGGCCGTGTAATTACAACGGCCAGCCGGGAAGCTGCTCGTCTGGATTTTTCAAGCCCTGCCTCTGATCCTCGCACACGGCCGGGACATACAGCTGTCAAGCTGTCACAGAGTTAACTGCGGTTCAGTGTAAAAAAAACGGCATATTACTTGTACTGTGCCAGTTTTTTACACTGAACCGCAGTCAACTCTGTGACAGCTTGATAGCTGTATGTCCCGGCCGTGTGCAGGGATGTACTCCTGGTACGGTACCGTGGGTGGGAGCGGCTCTATCTGGGGGGGCAATTGCCCCGTTGCCCCCCCCCCCTGGATCCACCACTGCTCGGAAGATATATCATCGCAGCTAGAAGGCTTATTTTTTGCGGTGCTCTTCATGTGTCTCTACATGCCTTTTCTGTGGTTGGCATCTTACCCTTCCTTGTTGCTTCTGCAGATGCATGTTTTTTGCCACATAATGCTACAGCTGGCTGCTTAATCTGTGTGTACCTTTTTTTTTTCTTGTTCTTTGTTTGTTTTCCCACCCCTTGGTAAGTACTGCTTTGGTACATCCAATCCGTTGTAGGAAAATACCAGCTGTGTCCTTCAATGAACGGAGGAGAAAATAGGATTTTTTGTACTCCTTTTCTCCATTGAAGGACACAGCTCCCTCCCCTTTGGAGATTCTGTGATTCTGTTTCTACTTCTTTGTGACTAACTGAGCTGCCTCTAGCAGATGGAGGTTTAGGCAATCAGCAGGGGCTGCCCCTTGCGGTGTGCTTGTTTATTTTTTCTGCCTAGCATTCTACTCCTGCAGGTGGCGGTATAACCCATCCGTTAGGTAAAAATACTGGCTGTGTACTTAAACGAACACAGAGAAAAGGATTTTACGGTGAATAAAAAAAAATAATCCTATTTTTACAAGGTACTCTATGAGTCAGGTTGGAATAGGGAGGTTAAGTATTCTGGCTCTGCTGCAGTGGAAATGTGCTTACCGTTCACATACTGACAGGGAAAGAGGTCATGACCTTATTGGTGTACTGTACTGCTCCTTCCTTATCGGCAGGATAGCTTATGTTCCTGACCAAGCTGTGCTATAGCTTCCCGTGGGTAAGCTTGGCTGCACAAAATGACAAAATCTTTGGCAGGTAAAACAGTTTATATGTGTTTTAACTCTGTATTTAGCTGTTTGCCCTGGGGCTATCATCCTTATACAGTAAACTCCTAGTTATCCAGTATCCATGGGGATTGGTAGATTCCAGATAACTGTAGTTTCTGGTTGCTTGAGATCAACTATTAACTCTCAAGCAACAACCCATCCCCCGCCCCATTCATCTGCTGGCTAGATTCTGCTATTTGCTATTTCAAATTGCCATAGTTAATAGCAGGCTGGCTATTGCACATGACCATTCTTTTACATTCACCTGCCAGCTGACGAATTTAGCTGTCAGCCGCAGCAAGATGTAAACAGAGAGTTTCTTTAGCAACTAAATAAATTTAGTTGCTAACAATTTTTTTTTAGTGTGCACATGTCTATCAAGCAACTGGCAAAGACATTGAGGACATATGATGTCCTCATTTTATTTTATTTTTTTCTGGTTGTTTAAGAGTTCTGGTTGCTTGAATGCCAGATAAGGGGGAGTTCACAGTACTTGTTTCACTACAGTGTTACCTGGTAAAGTTTTCCATTGTTACTAAAATGTGATGGGAAGTTAAAACTTAGTTTACAAAATTCACCGCAAAAAATAAACATAGCAACTTACTTGGTTATTACATACTTAATTTGCTATTGTTTCCTGATAAAGTGAGGGAAACCCAAGCTCTCTGTCCCATCTTTCCATAGTCGGTAGCTTTACTGGTAAGTTTGATTTGGAGAGGAGTTGATAAATAATTGTTATCCCCTTCAGTGTGAATCATTGATCGTTGTAGTAAGAGGTTTTTTGATGAGCGGGTTGTCATGATTTTGTATAGAGTATAGGGAGTGTCGGATGTGGGGATATTTAAAGAAATCTTTTTGGGGGATACTATTATTAGTGCAGAGCGCATGAAAAGAATTGAGAAAAAGTAATCCCACCATTCTAAGATTAAAGCTGTCCATACACCTTACAATTATCGTTCGATTTTGTTTCGTCCCGTCATCACACCGCTGTTCGATTTTCGCACGACTGCCCCATCATGCACAGACTAATGTGCAATTCAATTATCGTTCATTAGCAATACTAACTGACCGAATTTCGTTTGTGCATGTGCAGTGTTCATGTTGCAATTTTGTTTGTTATTAAAAGCTGCTAATCCATCGATTTTTAGTACGAATAAAAAAAAGTTTTCTAGCTTGCCTAATAGACGAAATTCGGCCAGTTGCACAGTAATTGTGATCGTTCACGTACCATCAACTGATTATAGTACGAAAACCTAAACTCGATCGTTTTTTAAACAATAATCACAAGGTGCAGAGGCGACTCTAGACATTGCAAGACCTTAGGCAAAACTTAAACATGAGGCCCCACTCAGGCCTATAATGGAAAATGGATGGCGGTGCAGAGCCTCAGGAGGTTGTGCTGATCTCAGGTGGCTTTGTGGGGGGTCACAAAGAGATGTGCAGGGTCTTAGGAGATTGTGCGGGCTCTCAGAAGGCTGTTAGGGGTCTTGAGACTGCAGGGTCTCAAGTGGCGATGTGGGGTCTTAGGAGGCTGTGCAGGGTCTCAGGTGGCTGTGTGGGGTTTTAGGAGGCTGTGTGGGGACACAGGAGGCTGTGCAGGATCTTATGAGGTTGTATGGTAAGTCCATGGATGCGTGCACCCACATGCAGACACTGTGGGACAGGAAGTGCCAGCAAGGACAGAGGAGTCAGCGCTGGATTGGAGACCGGCAGCAGCGCTGGAGGGACAGATGAAAAGGATAGGAAAGAAGAAGATCGGATTAAGAGACATCATTTAAGGTAAGTGCTGACACTAACATTGGGGGGAGGGAAAACAAAAATTGACTTTAATGTCACTTTAAAGCTTCTAGCTTCACACTGAAGCTGGAAGCTTTAAACCATGTGCTTCAGCGCTGAAAGGGTGATCAAACCAACCTTTCAGTGCTGGAGCATGGAGGGCAGCTCCACTCAGCGCTGAAAAGTTGATACAAGCCCTGGGCTGTTATTTGGTCCACAATTAAAAGAAAAACAAAACCAAAACACAGGGTTTTCCATATAGCAGCACTGGATGGCTTTATAGGAAATCCCACTATCACACCCTGTAATGTTCCAATCAATTTGTGTGTTCAATATGAACGTCGGAGTGAGAGCAATAATTCTCGAGCCATCCATCACTGCTATCACTAAACTGATGAGCAGTAAAAGCTTTTAAAGCATCACCTATGGGAAATGCGCATGATAATACAAATATTTTCCAAATGGATATACCCTTTTTTTTATTCACGTATCTATTTTGTCTTAATGTTAACACTTTTTTAGTTTCCAGTTGTCCATGTAATCTCTACTCTTTTTCTGTCTTTTCAATTTGTTTCTGGTCTGAGCTGGTTTTGATGTACTGCAGTCTGAGCTTAGCACTGTATGTGTAATGCTGTCTGATGATATCATATCCCTTTGTTTTTCTATTTTGTAAATATTTTATTTTGTTTCACTCTGTCATGTGGTTCTTCTTGTCAACTTTTCAGCAAAAACACAAGATGGCGTGGCCTTGGAAATACAACCATTAAAATATGAGGCTGGTGGAGAAAGCGAGGAAAAAGAGAAGAAAGTCGTCAAAGGGCCAAAGAAGGAAAAGTCTGTTTTGCAGGGAAAGTTGACCCGGCTTGCTGTGCAGATTGGAAAAGCAGGTGCTTATTACCAAACATTTTGGGACATGCTATTTGGATCACTAAAGTCCTTGAGATCTATTTATACATTTTGTTCACCCATGATTCACACAACTATCACCCAGGAATGACACATTTTTTTCAATTAAATAAAATAAAAAGATGTGTGAATAGTGGGTATAACTAGTGTGAATTTCAGGTGAAATTTTTTATAAATATTCCCCCCTCATGTATCAACATGTTCTTACTAAGCACTTAAGTTGTCCCTAAAGGTTTGAATCTGATTAGTGGCTGTGGAGAAATAACTCCTGTTGTTAGAAATGGCACATGGATACATGTGGCCCTATGTTGTTTGCATTTAACCCTCACTTTTGATAGGTGTTCTTTGGTTGAAATAAACATATGCTTGACTTTTAAATAAAAATAAGTTATAGGTTCTAAAAGAAGCTTAGAGACATCTTATAATATACCAGAAACCCAGAAAACTAGAGGGACAGCTAGCTCTGCTACTGCAGAGAGTGCTTTGAGTCTTGCGACACTTGATTGACCTAAATAGAAAAACTGTTTGAAACCATTTGTTTAGAAAACACTGTGGTAGTCCTCACCAAAATGGCAGACAAGGTGGACATACTGTACTACAGGCCTCCTGTCCATGTCCAGCAGTGCTACCATCTACCCAGGAAGATTAAGTGCTTTTTCCTCTCACTTGTTTAAAATGTGCACAGTGCTTATGGGACAAATATGTGCGATGTAAACATGCGTGGTTGAGGCATTGTGCAGGTGGATTCAGCAGTCTAACACTGTTTGAATCATTTTGGCGCTGTCCTGATGTTTTTTCCCACAAGACTCTGTGCACTTGGACAGCACATAATTAACCACTGATACCCACTCTTTGACCACCATTGCAGCAATGAACTTTGCCACGCACCAATGCCTGTATACAGCACCACCAACTAACATTGTGCCTGCATGCTATTCCACTGACCAATGCTGTGTCCATATACTTCTCCAATGACTGGAAGTGTGGCTGTATAATTTTCCTCCCACCAAAGCTGCATCCACGAGCTTCTCCTTTAACCAGTGTTGCACTGCTGCATTTTTTTTTTTTTTTTAGGAAATTGGTGTTTCATCCCCTTTTAATGATTAGGCACACTTTTGCTAGTTTTACCTAAATTAATTAAATGAGTCAGTTTGATTAATCTATGGTTAATAGCTTATCATCAAATACTTAGTGTGTTGATATCCATACATGCATACTAATCAGAAATATTGACTTTCCTATTGTTAACAGGTCTAATCATGTCTGGCATAACAGTGATCATCCTGGTGCTTTTCTTTGTTATTCACACTTTTGGTGTAAAGGGACAACCATGGCTTGCAGAATGTACTCCAATCTATATCCAGTATTTTGTAAAGTTTTTCATTATTGGTGTCACTGTGTTGGTGGTTGCTGTTCCCGAGGGACTCCCTCTTGCAGTCACTATATCTCTTGCTTATTCTGTCAAGGTGGGTATTGGCAGGACTCTTGTAAAAAGCTAATTATGTAATAGTGATTTATTTAATAGTTCATTGTTTTTCTTTCTTGAAGGTTTAAAAAAAGGATAATTCTTCAAAGCATTAGTGTATGTTAACAAAGTGCCTGATAGATGCTTCCCTTCCCCTTGGGCCCAACAACAGTAAACTACCTCATTCCTGAATACTTATTTCCTATGCTCCAGTTACATCTAGTGGCCTAAATGTACTATTACATGACAATACGTTGGAACTGGAAAAAAAAAGGTTAAGAATATATGTTTTTGGCATTCATCGCCCAAAACGAACATTCACATATATTCACAGGGTGAAGGGTCTTTGAGTTTGTCCCATGTAACTCTCGTTATTACTTGATTTTGTAACTATATATAATTTGCTTGTTGTTCACTCATATACAAATACATAGAACTCTCTGTGAGCAGTTGTATATAAAGTTTGAAATTGTAATTTTCTGTTTTTTAACACATTTTAGTTTTTTTTTTAACTTTCAACAGTAAGAAAAAAAAAAGAAAATACATTTTGTAGTGCAGAAAATGGTCCATGGGCCAGGATGAAGGGGAGCTGCCATAAGTGTAATACCATAGCAGTCCATATGGTATGGGCTTTGTCATTATACTTAGGGCTAGTTCACACCAGAACTGCATCACAGCTGCGTGCGTCTGTGCAGCTGCAGTGCGATGCGGCTTGCCGCGTTTTACCGCGACTTTGACACAATCCGATTTGTTTATATTTCAAAATGCAAATTAGGCCATTATGTCACTTCCTTCTTCCTGTCGGAGCACTTCCAATTCTCCTTTTTCTTTTTTTCATTTTGGATTCGTTCCGATGTGTTTGCATACGTTTGTGATGCATTTTCATGTGTTCCATTGTGATCCAATGCTCCTAAAATAGGGCAAGCAGTATTTTTTCTGACTTCATTGGAACGGATTGTGCTGGTGTGAACAGTGGTGTGTCCCATAGGAAAGCATTGTGATGCCTTTTGATGCAGCTGCCAATCTGAACAGACTGGATCACAACTGCATCTGGTGTGATTAGTCTAAGGCTGGCTCCTTATCATCCACTTGTGTAGGCATTGAGCTGTGTAATAAAAATTTAGACATATATGAACATAGTTCGCTGCAGTATAGGTGGCCAAACAAAGGTTCATTTTCTGAAAACACAATCAGTGAAGCTTTCCATTAAGTTAAGTTAGTTTTTTAGCACATCTGTCCCAATATTATTCCAAATGTTTGGAAAAAAAAATCAGTCTTTCCAAGTGTTAATTGTAGATATCAGTACATGAGAAATCAAATGAATCACATTAAATGACAGCATCCTGTATCCTATCCTATATAACTTAAAAGTTAATTCTGGATAAAGCTTCCACTTGTGGTCAAAGGGAATTTTACCACTAGTCCCAGTTTAATCCCTTCTACTCCAAGCAGAAGTTCTATCTGCTCTATTCCCACCCCCTCCTGCCATCCACACCACATCCTGCTTCTTGGACGTACCATGTTTTCCTGGAAGCCTAGAATATCTGATGCCACCCACTTTCTGGCTGTAGTGGAAGTGCTGGACTCCTAAAAAAGGATAAACCCCAGATGTCAGCTGGCACATTCAGGATGCCTAGAGGATGGGAAATGGTAAACTTCAGTTCACCAGATTTTCTTTTGCAGCTACTGAACCCACAAATAGCCAGCCCTGAGCACTTGTGGATTCAAACAATACAAACATTTCCGAGCACATTTACCAGCTAGCCAGCAAAAATTATACTGTCTAACAATTTGCATTTAAAACAGCTTTAGTTGCACTCATTTGCAAATATCTGTGGAAGCCACACTGCCTTGTCAAGGCCCCTCTGTCTAACTCTAATCTACATCTTGGAACATAAAGAGCAATGAAAAAAATGGATATGCCTGCAAGTAGCCCATTTCTCAAAGGTGCAGGGACACACCAGAATCCCAGCACCATTGAAGCTGAAGACCTCCCAGTTGAAGACCTTTCAAGCCAAATCCAGAAAACTGAAACAAAAATGGCAGCCACTCCAGCCAATTTACAACTAGCTTTTAAAGTAAGATGAACATGGAAAGGATTTTAGGAAAACAAACAATACAAAAAATGTTCCAGCACACATACCAACTAGCCAGCAAATTAACATTAAAACTAGAGATCTTAGTTGCTCACTTTTGCAAATATTAGTGGAAGCCACACTCTGATTGGCGTGTACAGAGGGCTAAGAACTTCCCATACTTAGGAGTACCACTAATAGACAAAGCAACATTCACAAAAAAAAGTAAAAAACAGTTACAAAATGTTTTAATACATAAAGATTATGCACACAACATACATGTTATTAAGACAAACATACCTACACTCCTATTACTCTGCACATTTCCCACACACATCAAAGGTATACAAATAAATATATTTTTTTCTTTTTACTCTGTAATTACCATATAACAGTCCACTTTTTATTTATACTCTTCCCTCAATTCCTGCCCGTCTCCCCTTCTTTCTCCCTTTCTGTTCTTTGATTAGCTAATTTACATACTCTTCTCTGTTTCCTCCCTAGTCTGTAGGCTAATCCTGCTGTACCTTGTCTTGCACTATTCCATGGTTAGTTTCAGCTCCACATACTCTTTATTTCCTCCCTTCTCTGCAGTCCAATCCTGCTGTACCTTGTCTTGCAATATTCCACAGTTAGTTGCTGCATCCCCTCTCTTCCACACCTTGCCATGATTACCTTCAGCTGTAGCTGTGCCTCCACTATACCCACTGGGACACCTATGGTCCCCCCCTTTTTTGCTATACTCCAACCTCCACTTCTGCCATATGCAATGTTTGGGTAAATCGCAGGATCCTGGGACACTGGCTTTTTGGAACAAAAAAGTCCTTTATTTGACTCAGAAGGCTTATCAGCAGTGAACAAAAATATAAATCCACAAAAAACAAACTTCATTTTTGAATCAATATTGTCCCTGTAACAGAAAAGGAAATATGCTTAATTCAGCCAGGGAAACCTAATCAGAGTTGAAACCAAAGACAGTAGCACCACGGGGCACAGCCAGCAGTGTAGCTTTCTGAATTTATCCAAATCAAACAGAAGTAGTTTCCATCACTCTCTCCCTTCTGCTCTTTCTACCACTTCCTTATCTGCCTTCTGACTCATTAACCCTGAAAAAGATATTTTTTTGGCAGTTCACTCCCTTTTTAATTAGTTCAAGTGATTGCAAAATTCCTTGAAGTTTTATACTTTTAAAATTGATATATTTCACAGTAAATCTAACTTCTAATTAGTGGTAAAGATGTTCCAGTATGAAATTTATGAACTAGTATTTTCATCTTTTTTTTAATTTTTCTTTATTTCTTTCAGAAAATGATGAAAGACAATAACTTAGTACGACACTTGGATGCATGTGAAACTATGGGTAATGCTACAGCCATCTGCTCTGACAAGACTGGAACATTAACTATGAATCGAATGACTGTAGTTCAAGCTTATGTAGGTGGTACCCACTACCGACAAGTTCCTGATCCTGAGGCTCTGAACCCTAAAATTCTGGAACTGCTAATCAATGGAATTTCAATCAACTCTGCATACACATCAAAAATATTGGTGAGAGTGACTGGTTAAAAAAAAAATAGGTAAAAAGTATTGAAACAATTACACTAGTGGGGATCAATGGTCAGTTATGAAGCTTTAACACATTTTGCACAAAGTGCTTAATCATAATGATACTCGTGTTTTTTTCTTTAATATCTGTTCACCTGTGCATGTCTGTGCATCTTTACAATAGTGCATAATATGTTATTTGAAGATATTAGCACATGGTTAGTTCTTTAAGGACACAGTCCACTCTCAATACCTTATTTTTGAAGGGCTTAGTTGCCCACTTTTATTCAGACAAACGTCCACACATCCACCTTGGATACCCTCACAGGGGTTGTTCAGCACAGCATCAATGCACTGCTTGCAACACAACAAGTATAGCCTCCTGGCTTCCACTTTTAACATTTTAACCACTTTTAAATGTTGACCCACCAGTTCTCTCTGTAGTGCTGTCCTGCACTTGTACTGGCAGTCCCTCAGACTCTTGGCTCTCCCAGCCCCCATGGCTTTGTTCATGTGCCTCCAGCACACACACCATCTGACTCCACTTTGATTTCTTGGGGAGTCCTCCTGACTTCTGAACAATGTCTGTTCCTATTTCCAAACAGGAGCTAAATTCCCTAGTCAGCACCCTTTCCTAAAGGGCTGTGCACACCTGTGCAATCATTGGGTGCTGGTCACTGCTAAATTCTGGACCAAGGACTGAAGCTTTCTTCCCTCCTGAATCGCTTTGAAATCTCCTGGTTCCAGGATCCCAAGCAGAATCCAGAAAAACCCTTGCTTCCTGAAATCTCTCAGCCCCCCTGACTGAGAGTCCTGGGTAATCATAACACCCAGTTGTACCGTGGGATTGCCACACAATACTACAATATTTAAAATAAACTTACAGTCAAGGTAGACAAACAAGGGAATGATATAGTTTTATTTTTCTGGAATTCTGTTGAACATATTAAGGAAGACCAGAACTTTGGAAGCTATGCCCAAAAAGGCAGTCCGAGGATAAAGAACTAATCACCTTTATTGTCTGTGGACTCCTTGCAGCTAATCTTTTCCAATGCCATCTCTGTGTGCAGGTGGCCATTTTGTTAGAGGCAGGGCTGTGGTTCCTCATTCCAGAGTTGCCCCCATAATGCCCAGTGATCTAAAAACTGGTGGGGGAATATTTAAGAAACAGGAAATGTGCAGAAAGCATAAATCCACAGAATTAATTGATTAAAAACAGGGAGATGCACACAATTCAGATTATTTTCAGCAAGCAGCGCAGTAGTGGCATCACTAAATCTCACTCCAAATCTTGTGAGACTAGCAGTCACAGACAGCAGTGCCACTCACGCAACAAAAAGGCACAAGAGAACCTATGCAAATTCACATACCTGGAAGTACACTGCTAAGTTTCAGGAGGTTTTTGGGTACTGCTTAGGCAAAAGAAAAAAATATACACACTATATATTTTTAGAGTACATTCACACCGAAATGTGTGCATTGGTTGTAACTCAATGCAAGTGCATTTACTTGTGTTGGTATAGTACATTGACATGCGTTGCATTATGTTGTGTTTTTTTTGGGTGGGTTTGTTTGATTTTTACACTAAGCTATATAAGGGATTGGTTCTGCCTTGGGTTGATGTCTGTTGCGTTGTGTTGACACGTGTTAAACACGCACTATTTTGCGTTGTATTGCGATAAAAAAGTAGAGCCTGCCCTACTTTTTTTAGTGGAGGGCAGTGCACATCAATGCAATGCTCTGGTGTGACCTGCTCCCATTCACTTTCTGTCTGACATGAAAAATGAAACGACCCTCCTTGCAATGGCATCCATTGAAAAACGGAAGCCTATGTATCTGCTGTAAATGGGGCCTTAAAGGAGAACTATGAGGTGAGTGTTTTTCACTTACCTCATAGTTCTAGCCAACCTGTGACAATGAGACTGTCACAGCTACAGCTCGCGGTATACTGAGCCTAGGGTGACGGGAGGACGCTAGTTTGTGTCCTCCCGTTACCCTAAGGAGAACTATGGGGAAAAGCCTTAACCCCATAGTTCTCCTTTAATCTCAAATATCGTGTATAAAGAACTTCAACAGACCACCCCTCAAAACTAATGATAACCGAGTAAAAACTCACACAAATCATAATGATAATCCGTTTGAGTATGAATATTTACTTGATTATGATTAGCTTTAATGAGAGTTTGATTAAAACCCTTTATGCAGGTTTTTTTTACATTAAAAGTGTACTGCATAGACACAAATAACTTTTTTAAATGTTCCTTGTAACATAGCATATGATAAGTATATGCACAGAAAAAAGTAATGTTTATTGTCTTCAATTGTCTTTCTGATATCCATGATATGTTAAATGCTAATTCCACAAGGAATACTGTGGAAAGTTATTGTGGATAGACTTTCTCTGAATAGCTTGGCTTAGGTTTTCGTTTTATTAAATTTGAATTTATTAATTTTTTTCTCTTGCCAACCACCAATTCTAGCCTCCAGAAAAAGAAGGTGGTCTTCCTAGGCAGGTGGGTAACAAGACGGAGTGTTCTCTGCTGGGATTTGTGTTGGACCTAAAGCAAGATTACCAAGCTGTACGCAATGAGATACCAGAGGAGAAGCTCTACAAGGTTTATACATTCAATTCAGTGCGCAAATCCATGAGCACTGTAGTTGGCGATCTTGGAGGAGGATTCCGTATGTACAGTAAAGGCGCCTCAGAAATCATTATGCGCAAGTAAGAACTGCAAGGAATAATTTTAAAACATTGTAGAATATTTTAAAGTAAATAAATTAGGGCTGTTACTGATTAAAAAAATTTCGATTAATCGAACACGAAAATTTTAATCGATTAATTTCGATTAATCTGGATTAGTGCTGGATTAGTGTGATCCTAGTTCATTTTATTACATCATTGCTGTGCTGTATGTGTATAGGCCAATGCCTTGGCTGGCGCTCGTGCAGAACAAGTTTCTCCTCTTAGTTGTAACGAAACCGGAAGTCAGTCGGTCGCAGAACTCGATATGTGTCGACAGATCGATCGAAAGTTCGAACTTATCGAGTTCTGGGACCGCTTTCGTTACAACTAAGGTTTGCACAAAAAAGTTCTTCTGCATGTGCGCCTTCCGCGGCATTGCTCTATACACACACACCACAGCAATGAAGTAATAAAATGAACTAGGATCACAGTAATCCAGCACGTTATTCATCTGAGTTGCCCCACTCAAGCGGCGGCCATATTGAGTGGGGCACCTGAGATAAATAGCGTGCTGGATTACTGTGATACTAGTTCATTTTATTACTTTATTGCTGTGGTCTATGTGTTTTGGGCAATGCCGCGGCTGGCGCTCGTGCAGAAGAACTTTCTTGGGCAAACCTCGTAGTTCTAAGGAAACCGGAAGTCAGGCGGTCCCAGAACTCGATAAGTTGGGACTATCGATAGAACACCGGCCCAAACCTCATAATGAAGGACTTAATTGACCTTTCTGCATGACATTTTAATAACTTTTGTGCAGAGAATTTTCTAGGTGATGGGTAAATATGCTAAACAAGCCATTTATAAATAAGAAGTGCAGTTGCAGTAAAATATATTTTCTAATACAAACCAGCTTTCAATAGGAACAATGCTGTTGTATACACTAAAGACTAATTTCCGTTTTGCCTTGACACAGAATTATAAGCACCTAGATCACAATATCTCACCAGTGCGATAAAAAAGTGCATCATAAGTACAAAGTTATTGAACAAAACAGAACTGTAGCAATTATATTATCCGGTAGATCTGACACTATGTTGGCTTTTTTCAATAAAGCAATGAGGTTGAGATAAACAGCCTTAGTTCCCTAACCTGTCATAGATTACTATACGTTCAAAAACGGACTCCTCCCCGCTTCCCTTCGTTAGCCGACGGAGCCACTTTGGGAAGGGGGGGAGGTATCTGGTGACGTTGATATCCGTGACATCACCGGATCTTATATATATATTTATTTACAAATATTAATCTTATTACATTATACATATATTATTTACATATATCAATACTTGCTGATACCAGTTACCGATGCTTTTTCGTAAAGTGACATTTTTCTAAAACACCACAGACTGATGATTTTAGGGCACTTTCTCACCAGGGCTAAATATAGATGTCCCCACAGCAGAACAAATGTCCCTAAGGCAGAATAATATTTTGCTTTGGGGACATGTATTCTGCTTTGGGGACATGTATTCTGAGAATGCTGGGCCCTGGCCTCCTCCATCGGCAGACCGTCTCCTTTGGCCCACCATCGGCAGACCATCTGCGCTGCTGGGCCCCCCACCTCCATCCTTTCTACTGCCTCTTGGCTCAGTCCTCAGTGGGCAGCAAGACTCCCCAGCTTTGAGCCCTGCGGCAGCTGCTTCGGCTGCACCGACGGTAGTTCCGCTTCAGGGGCTGTCCATGGCTGTGCCTGCTCCGGGAAGGAGGAGGACACCAGCGCGGGACCTCAGCAGCTGCTGTGATTTAAAAATGTAAAGGGCTGGTATCAGCCTTAAGAATCAGGGCATTTTCACAAGATGCTAGTATCAGTACATCCCTAATAAATATATATAAATATATAATATACACACACACACACATATGTAAAAAAAATACATCTTCTAAATTGAACAGGGAAACAATAAATCTGCATTCAAATAGTGCCTATTGATGTGTATGGTGCCGTCATGCCAAGAATAAAGGAGCTCTCTAAGTCCCTTAGGAAGAAGGTTTTGAATGCCTATATGTCTGGGATATAAAGGGATATAAAAAGATAACCAAATATTTAAAATCAATCAGTGTATTAAAAAAAAAAAACTATAAGTATAAGGTGTAGATTTCATGACTGTATATTTCAAATGACTGCTAATTTGTCCACGACTGACCAGTTCAGAAAATCCAGCCCAAGAACTGACCATTTGATGCTAAAAGAAGTCTTCAAGAACCCCAAAATTCAAAAGCAGAGTATGCAGAGAACTCTTGCAATAGGTGATTTCCACTATCAGTAAAAGATCAGTAATCAGTAAAAGATTGTGCCAATTGTACCTGGATGGGAGGTGTGCCAGGAAAAGCCCTTTGCTGCCCATAAAAGAGCATTAGAAAAATGTGCTGTGGACAGGTGAATCAAATGAATAAATCAACAGTAAACTTAATCCTCCTGTCCCATCGAACTCCTGACCGGACAAAAACCCAAATCCAACTGGGTGGGTGTGGTGGTGACAACGGATGCCTCCGTGAAATGTAGATAGATTAAAGTAGTCACTCGCACTCCATGATATTAAAGTCAATGCTGTTTATTGACTGAGATAACACACATCTCCTTAGCTGCTAAGGAGATGTGTGTTATCTCAGTCAATAAACAGCATTGACTTTAATATCACGGAGTGCGAGTGACTACTTTAATCTATGTAAATCAACAGTAACACTCAATATGTTTAGTGCAGACTGAAGACAGAAATTCAGAAGAAGGACTTGAAACCAACTGTACAGCATGGTGGTTGAAATGTTATGGTTTGGGGTTGCTTTGCTGCCTCAGGGCCTGGCATCTTGCAGTCATCGAGTCAACTACATCACAACTGTACACGATTATAACTATTGATATTTTTGCTAAATTAAAGAGGAACTCCAGAGGGCACTCCCACTGCAAGGGTTATTTTTTTCTTGTGTATGTCTTTTTGAATGAAGATCTAATGTCTTTTAAAATGTCAGCAATCAATTTCCAAGGGTATATTGTGTGTGTGTATGCGTATGGTTGTGTGTGTGTGTGTATGTATATATATATATATAATTTATTTATTTATTTTTCACACATAAAACACTTGCAAGGACAGACTTCAGGTAATGAAGGTAACTAGATCAGGTAATGATTTTGGGTGGAAAGTAATTAAGGAAATGGCTTTATGTGCAACCCCATTGTCTTAGGTGTGAATTCTTAACACTCAAAATTTGTTCTCTTAATATTCTATAGTTTGAACTCGATGGACTTTTGTCTTTTTTCAACCTGACTAACTATGTAACACTGTACATTGTTATGATGCAAAGAATACATAGTGAGAAATCTACACAGGTGGCTCCTAGATTAGAGGTCACATCACACAACAGGTTCCATAACCCTCACACCCCTAAATACTTTACTTTAGAGTAGGGTTAGTGAATTTAAAATTCAAGGAGGTCCAGTAAGCAAAATTTTCATCGAGCGGAGGTCCGAAACGCGGTCTGGACAGAACAGTCACTCAGTCTGTTTCTGCACTTCGGTCCACCATTTTTGGCTGCTTTCACACCAGTGTGTTTTCCCAGACACAGTGCTGATGCATCGAACCCGATGCATCCCACTTTAACATTTTTTGTTAGAACTTTATTGAAATATCACAAGTGGGGGTCATGGCCGGTGGCTGAAGCGGATAACCGCACACTAACAGAGCTCCGACGCTAGTACAGGCTGAGGCACTAATGATTGCGCACCATATTTATTTTACCAATTGCTCACCAGCTCCACTTCTTCATGCCGCCGCTTGCCTCCATTGATGGGCAAGAGGAAAAACAAAGAGGGCCCGAGTAAACAGATTTTTTCGCCACGGCCGGATCACCACATGGCCAAGGTTGCGCCAGCACATCAGGCAGCTCTTTACCTTTGGCTACAATGTCGGAACGCACAATTTTGACAGAGGCTGCTCAGGACACATTGAGCACCAATTTGCACTCACAGAATTGTGTCCACACCAATGGAGAACCCAGTCAAGTCTAAGAAGAAGAAAGCTTCACCAATTTCACCTGGTAAGAAACCCTCATGCGATTTGTCTGATGAAGACATTGGAGACCCTGTTGATCCTATAGATAATTTCCCCACTTCTGATCAGCCTTTAGCCGACACTACCCACAAAGATATGCTGGTCCACCAGTGCAGCTCTCTAAACAAAGATATGTCTTCTCTTATCAATTTAGAGATGGGTGAACGAGTCAACCACGTGGTAAACAAAATCGGGGAATACGCTGATGCATACAATGATTTAGTGGATGCCCACTCTGATATAACTAAGGATGTACAAGCTCTTCCCTTAAGATTGGCTAATATAGAGGCTAGATCCCATCTTAACAATGTTAAATTTCGGGACATTGGTGAAAATATGCCACCATTGGATATGAGAAATTAAATACAGCAATTCATTAAAATTCTTCTGCCTTCTCGTCCTGATTTTGAAACCATTGTGCATAGGGCCCACTGCCTACCCAAACCTTCTCATTTCTACCATGTCAAGGAAAGCCTTATGTTCACTGTGAGGACTGTGTCTTTATTTCCTGACCCTTATTCTGAAATTACCTTATTCAGGGATTTATCTCAAGTGACTCTATAATCCAGGAAGAAGTTACTACTTCTCACGAAGACACTCCACAATCACCAAAAACCTCATCTATGGGCCATCCGACTAAGCTATTGATCAATAAAAATGAGAAGCTTCACACTATTTCAACATTGGAAGACGGCATCTTGCTTCTCAAGAGATAGGGAATTCTTCTTGATAACTTACCTCTGGAGCGCTCCACTGATCAAAAAAAAAAAAGTCTCCTACTTGAATTCATCTATTCCCCATCTATTGTCTTAATTTTCCTACAGTGCGCTCGCTGAAGCGATGCTTAATTTTATGCCTCCGACTATCTTTATTTTTTAATTTTTTTTTCTATGACGTTGTTGTAAATGTTATTATACCTTTTCCTTAGTTTGTCTC